AGCAGAAAAAGCTGCATCAGACTAGTAAAGAGTGGCTACCAAATACAGGTTGAACATTTTTTTAATTTTGGATCAGTGCTTGTATGCTTTATTAAACAGTTAAGCATTCTTTGTTTAAACAGTCTTTTGTTTCAAAACAAAAATACCGGTCCAGTATCACTCTCATGATATCCTTCTTCTCCCGTATAGTGTTGTCCCGTTTTTTTGTCATCCCATCATGCACAGCTTTGTAGATACTAGCGGGGAGAGAATCAAGGTGGTAGAGCAAGTGAGCAGTCCAAAGTCATTGTGATATGATGGAAAGATTTCAAATGTTTCGGTCGGAAGAGGGGAAGAACTCAGCTGCAGGAATTAATTCCTGGGTGAGAAAACTGATTCTGCAAAAGACTGGATAATTTCTTCACTCGCATACAGTACTCTTTCTGGTGTTGAGCTATTCACAATGCTGAACTCACAGCCTTGTGACTGGAAAAAACTTTCTTCAAAAAAAAAGACTCCCTAGGGTCTCACAAAATGTTAGAAATCCTTAAATTTAACTTATGAAGAGGTCATCTCTTAGTAGTCTGCAGAAAGTAAGGGGTTTGTTTCCTTTGCCTCCATCCCCAGACTCATTGAGCTTAAGTTTAAAAAAAAAAAAACCAAAACCACAAACCCACTGTAAAACTCAGAGGCGCTTCAGCTGCTGTAATTTACTTCCATATCAAATCTGTTTGTTGTGTTTGGTAGATTCTCGCCAGCTTCCTGAAGTGTAACTTAGGTTTGCAGGTGTCTCTCTGAGTCTGTCTAACCAGGGTGCTTGAAGGACAAGAATAAGTGAAGGTTATGAATGAAAACTTAACAAATAAGGTAGATAAATGTCTTGTATGGATTGTTCTCCCTCTCCTTAGAGGCATTTCTCTTCGGGGTCTCAGCTGAGGGAGGCCCAGTTGGATTTAGTGGGCTGAGTCCAAAGGTAGGGTAATGTAAATTGCACTCACTTAAGAAGAAGCCAGTTGATGAGGCTCTGGATTTTGGTTATCTGCTGAGCACTTAAAGATGTTACATGCAGTGGGGTTACAGCCCCTTAGAATTGTTTATAGTGTCTTTGCCATTATGAATGCAGTAGTTGAACTTGTCTGTACTTGGTCAAAGGATTATGTATTCTATGGGTAAGGTTAAGGACATGCATTATTCAGTGGAAGGCATTAGCACTTGAGAGAGATACTTCTAAGAAATTTATAATCACAGCTTGGTCTGAGAAGGTAAGCAGCAACAACAACAAAACAGCTTGTCAAAATGTGTGCTCTGTCAGATATTTCAATTTTGAGTCTGTAGGCAGTACTGAAGTGAGAATTTTGTAAAACTCTGCTGTGGCTTCTGTGAAGGAGAGTCAAGCCTTACAAAAGCATGAGAAGTTCTTTGAAGGCATCTATATGTCGGTGACTATTATGTACCTTGTTAGCATAGTAAAAGACTTTCCCCTGAACTGAGAAACAGCGGGTTGAGTTCTGTCATTTTTTAGTTAGTCTCTACAGAAACAGTGACTGAGTGAATTGGTAAACATACCTACCAAGATATCGGGAAGGGAAAGGTTGAACAATATTTTTCCTCCTCATGCAGTATAGACTTTTGACTTTTATACAATATTAAGAGAAGACAATTACTTCACACTTTATTTTGGTATGCATATGTGATCATGCAGTAGAGGAGGAGAAAGATTAGTGAAATAGAAGTGAATGTGCTTTTAGAGGTAACTTTAAAAAAGTGTCACCTGCCAAAAAAAACACATAACCTTTTTTTTTATTACCAGGCCAAAGAGGTAAGAAAACAATTTTCTGGGAGTATTAATTTCAAAGAGAAGTGGTCTGTGGAAGTGAACTAGTTGTTGAGTCTAGGGAAGTGGGAAATGTCGTGTGCCTAGACTATGCCAAATGGATTTTAAATAGTACTCTGTCCTTCTTTCTCTCTTTACAGTGATAAATTGTTATTCCTTAGATAAAGAATGTTCTCTTATTCCTCAAGATGCATTATTGGATGATGTTAAGGTGCTAGAAAATCTGTTATGTAGTCCATGCTATTTTCTGATTTTAAAAGCGATACTTTAAGGCAGACTAAAGATGACAACATCTACTTACTTAGCAAAGGCAACTTCATCCCCTTTTAATCTCTACTTTATAGTGTACAGGAGTGCACTATGAATACTTGAAATCCAAACATTTTCTATGTTTTTTATGTTCATGGCCTGCATGTGTCAATTTTTAATGTTTGATTTCTGTAAGTTTATTCTCGTGGCAGAAAATTGGTAAGTAATCAATGGGAATGCAAAATACCTTTCCTCCCTCCCCCAGTTTAACAGTAGTGTTTGGGTATTTGTGTAGCTGAATAATAATACAGGACTTGTATAAACTGTTAAGTTCAGGGGTTTTTTGCCTCTAGTGTCACAGGATCACTGTAGTCTTATATTTTATCAGGTTGTAAAGAAACAGGTAGTATGAACTTCATAGGGCTTTACTGTTTTGTGACTAATGCAGTGCGTTAGCTTTGACTAAAACAATTTTGATGATAAGGACAAACTTTTTATGAACTGTTTATAATTTTGAACATTTTAAAAAAGAGTGAGTTCTTTAACCATGTGAAAACTATATTTTAACTTTTAAAAATCAGGTAACCTGGCTACTCAAGCTTTCTTTTCCATTTACTTTTCCGGAGTACTGCATATTGATTGTGATTATTTCAGTATTATGAGACTTTCTTAAATGTCGGAGTATTTTGGGAGGGACAGATGAGGTTATGAATTGAGCATCCAGGCAGCTGTTTGTACCACCTAGTTTAGCATGGTGCCCCTGTGCCAAATTCTTTCTTCTCAAGGTTTCTTTCTACAAAATTCTGCTCTGACCAGGGCATCCTCCCTTTTAGGAGCTGTACAAGTTTGTGTGGCAGAAGGGTGTGTTCTGGGTGTAAACAGGATCTTTCCCTCTTCCTTTTCTTAGCCAGAGAGGTACTCATTCTCTTTGTGGAAGGACGTGTTCCCTGTAGTGTCTGGAGGGAGAAGAAATAGGCAGTTATAATTTCTTCTTTCCCTTCTGGCTGCCATTGGCAATTATGATAGATGGTATTGGAGATACACATGCAGAAGTGCGTTATGTACAGCACCTCTTTACAACATCCTTGAGCTTAGGCTGTCAAAATTTGTTAGATGTTCCTATATCATACTGCAGGCACCATGTCCAAATTTTGCTCGATATCACTTCAGTGTTTTTACACTAAGCAGCCTCAAAGGCATGTGAGAGATCTTGTTCTGCATATAAGCCTTGAGAACTAAGAAGTTTGCCATCAAATTTGTAGTGGTAGTGGACCCTCATGTTTCCAAACTGCACAAGTATACAAACACAGTAGATGTAATTCTCTGCACTATAAATAGGAGATCAGGGACTGTAAACAGTGAAACATTTTTGAAGAGCGCAGCCACCAAGAGTTTCGTTCGTCAAGAAGTCCTAGCTTTTTGTTTTAGTTGACCACTCAGCTTTAACTGCTTTTTCCTTAGCTTTTTATTTGTTCTTTAGTTACTAAAATAGATGTCTTCTTTCTCTGCCTGATGCCACCATTTCAGCTGTGCCCTGCAAGTTAGGGAGGACATTCTGCCATCTATCCTGTTGGCCTCACTCTGAAAGAGTTGAGACAAGACCCTTGTTCCTGAGTTCTCATTTGCTGTAAGAGATTTTTTTTCTCCTCTCAAGGAGGAAATGTTCTACTGGACTGATTATCTCCATGCAGTTTACCTGTCTTGTCATATTATCTTTCTGATTCGATTATTGAAGATACTTAAGGATTCTGCCAAGCCTTAACTTGTACTTGGAGTTTTAGGCTTGTAGCACAGCCTGGATCTGATGACCTTGTTCTTTGATTTGATAGCAAACTTGAGTTCATTCCTTTAAAAAAAGGGCTTTCTTGGTAACCCTAGTATTTGCAAGAAAGTGAAATTATTTTCTTTTTTAGAGTTGCCTTAGTTTCTACCCAAGATTTTAATTAAATTTGGCAACCATTTGCCAGTGTGAAACCAGCAGGTTACCTGTTGGTATTCTTCCCTGATCCTTTTGCTTGGGATTTGGGACATCTTTGCCTGTTATGTGAGAATAGTTCCATCATTTAGCTTGCAGAGAAGTAACTGCTCTACTACTTGCATAGCTGTCATGGAAGCTTTTGGAGGGAAAACATTTTTGGTATGATAGTTTTTTAGTAATGTGTCTGGAAGATTCTTGGGAGTTTCCTCCAGGTGATACAATCCTGGAGCCCCACTGTGGAACACCCATGGGGATGAGCGCTCTGAAAAGGAGGCCGCCAATCAGTGGAGTTCAGATTTTGCTCCAACACAACATTCCCTTCACTGTGTCCTTGCTTTCTTTGTTGAAGTTCTTGGAGATTTGAGACTGAGACATGCACCTCACACTTCTTAGTTCATCGTGAGAATACTGAGAAGCACAAAGCAGATTGTGTAGGGCCACTATGCAAGATTTAAAAAAAAAAAAAAAAAAAAGACCCCCAAACTTCCAGGGTTGATGGCTTGTGGCACATGTGTTAAGGTGAAAATTCATCCTGAGGAATTCCATTTAACGATATAACTCTTGCTTTGGTAAATGATTTGAAATTCTATGCTTTTTTGGGGAATGTTTCTATTATCAGGATGCAGGTCTCAAAATTCTATGCAAAAAGCTACTGGAGGATTGTTGTACTAAACATGTTTCCAACTAAAGACAAAAATAAAAATAATAAAATGAAACTATTAACTTTGTCAAATTGGAAAGTGCTCAGAATTGTTCATTTTGAAAAAAAAAGTTTAACTTTTTTCTTATTCATGACGAAATCAGAGCTCAAGGTCTTGCAATTTTACACATGATGAATGTTCAGGATTTTTGTAAGTTATATTAAATATTTGAAAATAAGTATTGTGAAAGATGCTTATGTCAGTTGGAAAACCTTGACGTATATTACATACTGTTTAACATTATTTTACATTTATGTAGGTTCCTCTAAAGAAGGAGGAGCTGGAGCTGTGGATGAGGATGATTTTATTAAGGCATTTACAGATGTTCCTACTGTACAGGTAAGATGCTGTGTATGCTCATGTTTGTTTTCAGAAATACGTTATTTCAATACTATATGTTAGCCTACTTTTAAAACTTCTTTAATTTTATGGTCTTCTAAGCAAGTGTCCTTATTTTTCCTTCTTTCTGAATTTACAGTGTCCATGGAAAGCTCTTTACTTTTTCCATTTAGTTACCAAAAAACCCACCTTTTCTTTACTGTCCTACTAATTATTATCACATTGTGTTTCAGCTGAAATCCATTATTGCTTTTCTTAATCTTTTCCAGGGAGCTACTGAAAATAATTTTATGTTTTAATTTTAATAAGAAAAAGATTTCTATAATGTTTGGAAAATTTAGGACTGCAATTTCATGGGATAGTCAAGTACTAATAATACAGGCCAATAATTTTAAAAACAAGAATTGTATTTTCAAATGTGTCCGACTTGTAATGATGCGTGTCTGGTATACATGTCCTCATCTCTAGCAGTACTTCAAAAAAAAAAAATCTAGTGCCTTATTTGAATACTAATGAACGTGTTGGATTCTGAGTTCTTAGTTGAAAGATCAGATTTTAATTTCTATTCTTTGAGTGTGGGAATTGCACATACTTGGTACTTTCACACAGTTGAGTCATTTAACATGCTTGTGTCTTCCTAGACCTATTTTGAATAAGTTTTCCATGAGCAGCTGAGGTGTGGAAGGCAACCAAAAACTCAGTCAGCCATAGTTCCCAAACACCGGAAGGATTTTGTATGGCTCCTTTTTCTTAATACGTACTTTTGTTCTATTTTTATTTCCCGAGATGATAGCGTAGTTATTTGTTAGATCTTCTGTAGGCAGAAGTACAGTCTGCTTTTATGAAGGAACACTCTATCTCCATGATCCCTTTCACATCAAGGAAATCTTTGTCTTACACTGTAAGAGCTTTATGTTTCTTTGCCTTTACAAACTGTGTTAGGAATTCTTTGGAGGGCACAAACATGGAGTTCTTAGTATTATGTATCCCCATTATGTTAAACAGAGCCATATTCCACAGCACAGAAAATGTGCTGCCTGTAGTTCAATGCTTTGGTATTTGCAGTCCCAAGCAGAGTTCTCTAATCACTTAAGTTGGTTAATAATGTTGCAAGAACAAAAGTGGGGTAACTGTATGTCGTTGACTAGCATGTCTGATTTTTCTGTCTGACTGCTGGATGGTCTAGGAAGGTAGGTCATTCCTAAACTGCAAGAGGTGGAAGAGAAACACACGCTTGTCTTTACTGATCTCACCCAAGTTGAGGTGAGGAGGCAGGGGAGAAGTAACCTTTTTGTTTCATGGATGAGAATGTAAGAAAGACCTGCTGACAGGCAAAAAAAGAAAAAAGTTTCGGGTTTTTTTTAGTATCCTTAGGAATAATGACTTCCTGCTGTCCAACTTCATGCTTCTGGTTGTGGACAATCTCTGATCTTTCCAAAAAAAGGCAGATCCCATGTTTTGAGACCATGTTAATTACTAAGGAAGAGAGAAGTTTCTGTAGTAGACCCTGTGAAGAAAGAATGTTTATGACCTGTAATTTGCCAAGTTATTCTAAAAGCAAAGAAACTTGTTAGACAGAATGGGGAGAGGGAGTTGTTTGTACATTATTGGGCCCATTCCTGTGTCTTTCTGTGTTCATTACATTTGTGGGTTTCAGTAGTGGCTTCACTGAAAGTAAGGAAGGGAAAAACAGATCCAATTCTGAATCAAGATTAAGTGCATCTGGATTAATCAAGTAAATTGAGGTTACTTATGGTGTGTGTATGTTTAACTCATTCTTAAAAGCCTCCAATGATAGATCTGCCTTTCCAGTAACCTGTTCCAATGACTGCACATCATTAATTTTTTAGGAATATCATATTGTTTACTCATATCTAGTTTGTAATTGCCATATTGGAAATACTTTCCATCTGTATAGTTATTACTCTTGTTTGCGTTTGAGCTTTTAATTTTTCTGTCTTTGATGTTGCGCTTACCTTTAATGATATGTGTGTGTGTGTGTGTGTTGCCCTCTAATGGTTAACAGCAGTTTATGAAGAAGACTTGGAGATTTTGAGATATAGTCTGATGGATCTGTGTGCAAAAAAGAAGAGTATTGTGGTGAGAGGATTGTGCCTTCATATTTAAGATTACAACCATAATGTTTTTGCAATTCTGTTTATTTGCCTTTGCTTAAATTGAAGAAAATTCTGTGTTCAGGTTATTAGGAGTAACTTCCATTAATAGCTAGAATTTTTTTCAAAATTTAGTTGTTTTTATAAAAGTCTGTTGTGGGAACTTATGAACAAAAAAAATGTATTATGTCATTAACTGAACACAGAATTTCATCTTGGCCTTCTAAAAGCATAATTAATCAAGGGCAGGAAGAAAATAAATTATTAAAATATTACCTTTTATTCCTCTGAAACTGATGGACAACCTCGACAATTTGGGATTTTTCAGTGGAATTACAGTTTTAATTTCATGACAAGATTAAAATTATGCCATTTATTAAATTAAATGCCAGTTTGAATAGCAGCAATTGCATAGATCCAATTCTGTTTGTGCCAGGTAATTAAAGAAAAAAATTAAATTCTTTGCCTAGGCATGCAAGTAGGGCAGACATAAACCCGTTGTACATTGTACATGTTGCTTCTGTGCTTGTGTATTGCCTAGCATGTTTTAATCCCATGGCAGTAACTATAGCACATGATAACTCTGATAACACATAGACTGACAATAAAAAATATCCTGTTTTTCAGGATCTACTCAATGAGACAGCTTACAAAAGGTATTTGTACCTTGACCATAACCTCAGACTAAGTTTCGAGTGTGCGCTAAACAGATCTGTTAGCTGCCATCAAAAGGCATGATCCTGCTTCCCTTGTTGTTGCACTTCACTTCTTTATGATAGGTTGACATAGGCTGCTGAGATGGCAGAGAAATTTTTGCCTTTCCTCTTGTGGGGTTAGGTTTTTGTACGTTAAAGCCCTGAATTGGGAAGGACACAGGGCAAGGTGGGTGATGACAAAAGGGGAGCCTGAGGAGGTTGAATCGTGTCACGAATTCTGGCATTAGGGTCACCGTAATATGAAATTGCATCTTTAGTTAACCAGTGACTACTCCCTTCCACTTTTAAGAGGAAAATAAGAATTTTCTTTGATAACGGAAATTTAATTTGATAAAAATGCTTACTGAGACACACATAATATTTATTCTTAATAGCATGGTTCCTATAGAATTACTGTTAGAGTAAATTAGTATTGTGTAACAAGTATTATACGCTACTAGTATGCACTATCTTAAATGGTGATGCAAAAGTCATGTTCGATTTTGTGGGCAGTGGAGTAGAAAGTCTGTTACGCTTGGACCCACTGTTTTTATTAAATCATTTACTCCTTTTAAATAAGTTATCCATCAGATGTTTATTGACTTCTAATGAAGAAGAAAACAGTAATCATGAGGAATAGCTTTTTGGTTTTTATGGATGCAGTCGTGTCCCCTGTATAGAACTGCGAAGCTGCTTCCACAGTGTACACTGGAAAAGCTTACGCAGCTGTGTGGTAATAAAAATTTCAATTTTATTGGTAAAGCATATTCAGAAATTGTTTTCCGCATGATAGTGAAGCTGGCCTGGGTGTACTAATTCGTCTGTTTCTGACGTGATTCCTGCCCTGTTTATCCTACAAACCAGATATGCAGGTTTTTTAGAGCATGGATGTCTTCCACCTCCTCAATATTCCAGCATGAAATATAGAGGCCTCCATAACCATGTTCTGTTAAAGCACTGGAACAAAAGTAGATGTCAATAGAGTCAAGGTCCCATATCTACTGTAAGTTAAATTCATTTGATGTGCTCAGGAAATTGGAAAACTAGACTGTATTTGGAATAACTCTTGCAGTAATTTCAAGTTGCCCAGGAAAATAAGATACTTTGTAGAAAATATGCATTCAGCTTATTAGTAGAATGGAAGAAAGATGTTCCTAAATCTTTTTACAATAAAATAAAAGATGCATATATACATGCAGAACAGTTTGTTCAAGAGACAAGTGTCAAAGCTCTTCAGCAATTCAGGCAAAACAAGGTGTCTTAACCATTGGTCCTTGTTTCCTCTACATGCTCTGTGCTCTTGCACATACAAAAATTATGTCTTGGACTTAAATAAATAATGAGGGAGCATCAGGCACTACTATTTAGGTGCTAACGTAAGTTATCATGCTGGCCTCCAGCTTTCACTCTGGAAGGGTATGAGTTTCCTTGAAGTCCAGCCCCATGTGTATGTCTTGGATGTGTCTCACATGGCACAGATGCCTGTGTATGGGCAAGTGAGTTTAGCCCAATGTGTTTATGTAGACAACTTTTGATCAAAAAAATGAAAGTCTTTAGCTGAAAATAGATTTTTGAAAAAATTCTAGCCAGATCAAGTTTCTGATTAGTAATTTGCTTCATATCCTCTTCAACTTGTTCTCAATCTGGGGAAAAAAAAACCCTTTAAATTTTGCATATTCAGTGGAAGCAGAAAAGAGCATCCTGTGGCTTATGTCTGGGAGAATAGAAGGGAAGCCAGTTTATTTCTGATGTTAATAATATGTTTTCATGACTACTTTTTTTTTATTTTCTTCTTTAGAAATTCACTGTTGTATGTGTACAGTTATCAATAAATCCATTAATTCATGTATTACCAAATAGTGACTGATGTATGATTAGATTGGTCAGGCATCAATTCTGCTGGAATTACTGTGTAAAGAATAGAGAACTCTGACTGGAGGCTGCTCCTTACATTTATTTACTGACTGCATAAGTTAATAAAAGATAGGCTTGGAGTAGTAATACATATAGAAGCTATTGAAACTTTTAATTTATTTTTTCAGACAAATTTTTAATTTTAGTGTTGACTAGCAGCCCAGTTAGGCCCTCATAGAGCCATGCACTCTTGTAATGCGGAAGGGAGTCCCTGCCCCAAAAGAGTTGCGTCAGGTTAAAATCTGTTCGTTGAGTAACATTGTAATAGTGAGTATGAAAATGAAATTGAATTGCAATGGTATTGCAACAGATTATCTAAAGCCTCTGCTCATATTAGATTATATTCTTTTTTTAATGGAATTAATGAAATTCTAGATATGGTTAGATCATCACAAAAGTGAAAGGTGAAATCTTGAGGAAAATGTTGATTCTTCAGCTTTTCTTTTAATGAATATTCACTACTCAATGATATCCTCGAAGATTTGCCTTAAAGTACCCATTTATGCCTCTTACACAGTTCTCTGGAACTTTTGGGGCAAGATTTTCAGAATTATAATTGTATTTTCAGTCTTCTCAAGCTATTTTCCTTCATCAGGTTACCTGGGATATTAACAATATGAATTTTCTGGTGTTTTAATATTTCAGATCTATTCTAGTCGAGAACTTGAAGAAACGTTAAACAAAATCAGGGAAATTCTCTCAGATGACAAACATGATTGGGATCAACGAACTAACGCGGTAAACTTTTTATCTGGTTTCAGGTTTGCATGGGTGTATTTCATGAAGCACAGGCAGCTAGTTGTTTTTAAATGCTTTTTATTAAAGTAATTACACTCCAGATAATCAAAGAAATTTTCATTTTATTTTTTAAACATTGAATTTCCATATACCAAATAAGTTTGAGCCAATGTTTTTAAAAGGCTGAAGTAAATTTTTGCTGATATTTAAGTGGAAGCTTTTCTAAAAGCCATCATGTATGTTTCAGTTGGCATTTATGCAAAATTACATATTCTGCAGGTAAACTGTTAGCATTAGTACCTCTTATGTGTGGCTATGATAAGTTTCACTTGCAGGTTTAAAATGTTTGTGTGTATGTAGCATTTATGTTTTTTATCAGGTTGATGGCATCTTAGTGTTTGGAAGCAGGTATGTGAACAGGATTATATATTTGTATATTTGTAGACTGGGATCTGAGACTTTTTAGCTCTAGAATTTAAGTAATAAAATTTTTTCTTTTTTTTAAAAAAGTTCTTTTAAATTACTGCCATGTATTTCAAAATTATGCTTTGCTTTAAAGACATGCCTACGTACGTTTTTGCAATGAAGTTGCTACTTTTTTATTTTGAAATGCATATTGGTAGTGTCCTAAACTAAATGCCTTAAATTTTTTAGCTGAAGAAAGTTCGGTCATTGCTTGTTGCTGGAGCTGCACAGTATGATGGATTTTTCCAGCATTTACGGTTGTTGGATGGTGCTTTCAAGCTGTCAGCCAAGGATCTCAGATCCCAGGTGGTTAGAGAAGCATGCATTACTGTAGCGTAAGTATAGTTTATGTGCATTTGTGTACTTTGCTAGATTTTAGTATGAATTTGACTTAAAGATGCTTTATCAATGTTGCAGGAAAGATTATCTTGTTGGACTGCTGTACACTATGACTGATAGAGTCAAGTCAGCATCTGAGCTGTTTCGTAAAAGAAACTTTAAAGGAATTTGTTCTTTTAAGCGATATATGTAGTTGATAATCCTGTAACAGATTGTATGTGAAGAGCAAGTTACCATCATTACACTGAGTACTTAGTGCAAGTTAATACAAGCTACTGTAAGTACTATTATTGTAATATTGAGTAGTCATCTTATAAGCACTTATGCTTGAGTGATTGGCACAGGACTTTACTGTGACTATTTGTAATAACAGTAAGCTACCCTATAGTGTTTTGAGCCCTTCCGCTTGGATGTTGAATTGTCTGAGATGCAATTTAAAAAGATAAAACTTAGGTGAAAGCTTTACTAAAACATTGTACATTTTGGTGAGGTAGTATCTTTCATGTCTGTGATAATTTTAGAAGCTGTGGCTAAACAGAAATAAGACCTTCACCCTCATCATCTTGGGGACTCATTAAATTGAAGCGGGCGATGGGGAAAGCCTTATTTTTACACCAGAACAGTCTTTTCCACTTCCATGTTTTCCATGGCTTTTTTTCCTCTGGAAAGGCATTAATGTAAACACTGATTTTCAGTGGCCATGTGGAACAGATACGCCCCAGAGTTTGCCCTTGCTATTCGGGTCTCCTAATTGAACAGACCATGGGACCTGTTGGAGCATACAGCTGTCCTTGCCAGGGAAATTCAGGCTTTGAGAAAATAACGCTAACCTTTCCTAACATGAAGTCAGGCATAACATGAAAGTACTGTGTAAATGTCCTCATCCAGGCCTAAAAGCCTGGAATTTTTCTTCATGCCTGAAACTTAGATATATTTGATGTCCCATTTGCTGCTGACTGCAAATTCTTTTTATGTAGTCTCTTTATGGAAGAAGCATTTATTGTCACCACTGTGCAGTTAAATTACTGTGTGTTGTATGTGTTTGTGTATTTGTTAAAATTGAAACCATAATGTTTAATAAACAAGGGAGTCAATTTTTGCGGTTAGCTAATTATGATAAATTCAGTAGTTTTACCTGCATTCAAAAGGAAAAAAATCTCAAACAATAATTTCCATAAGATTTTAGATTTATATACTCTCAAAGTGTGTTTAAAAAAAAAAAACTGTGATATTTTATGCGGATATGACAATTTTAGCCTTTCAAATTGTGGTATTTGTTTTTTGTGACAAAATAAGGTTATTAGTGTTCAACCTCTTAATGTGTCTGCTAAGTAACAAAAATGTACCACAAATCCTGCATTTCTAATGAGGCAAGGACTTGGAAGTAATGAAATTAAGAAATTCTGTTGTTTGGAAAGGTAAATCTTTAAAATGTACAATGAACTTTGATATTTTAAGACTAAGAAATTAATTTTTATTAACAAATTTTATTTCTTTTTTCTAAATAGCCATCTTTCAACTGTTTTGGGAAACAAGTTTGATCATGGCGCTGAAGCTATTGTGCCTACGCTTTTTAATCTGGTTCCCAACAGCGCCAAAGTGATGGCAACTTCTGGGTGCGCAGCCATTAGATTCATTATTCGGGTAGGTGTTCCTCTCTCACTTTGCTTGCTAGGAATATTCAGGTAGTGGCTCTTAGCAGAGATAATCACAATTCTGAAATATAGGATTATAAATCATTCTTTAATGGAGAAGTAATTTTTCTCACAGATGGACAAATATTATTTATCATTGAAACCAATCAGCAGCAGTGCCATAGTAAAGATGGAGGAATAGGTATGAAAAGCAAGTCTGTTTTCATGATTTTTTTGTAATGTGTTAATTGTAAAAAAAGCAAATGTATTTCAAAGGTTAACTGCGTTTAACTGCCTTTTCGGAAAAGACAAAGTTAAGCTAGTAGTTAAGAAGCTGGTAAGATTTTTTTTTTTTTTTTTTTAAAAACCAACAAACCAAAACTATTTCTTTAAAAAAAAATTTTTCAAAAAAAAAAAAAATTGGAATCGTGGAGTAACGATAAAATGTTGAAGAGGCCGGACACAAGTGGATCAGTTCAGAAAGCACAAGTTCATCAAAGAAAAGCCCAGCAGAGATTTTAATCCTCGGATTTAAGAACTTTCTAAGCTGAGTCCTTAAAGCTATAGCATATAGAAGAGGGGAGTGCTGTATTCTAACTGTTTTTTATTGTCTGTTCCTTAAGCATCTGCTGCTGACTGGTGTCTGAGGCAAGATGTTTAGCTAGATTTTTGGAACTTGCACTGATATTTTTGTGTTTCAAATAGAAGTGGGAGGTTGCCTGTAGTTTCTACATTAAAAGCTGTGGTGTTCTTAATGCTAGGCACTTACTACTATTCACTGTGATGTCATCCGTAGTTTTAATTTTGTAAGTTGTTGGAAACCTAAGTGGTTTAATCATGCACACCTTTTATTGCCATTCTCAGTATGTTTTGGAATCTGTGCTTATTCTGTCTAACCATGCCTCTGAGAATGTGCTCTGAGACTTTGCATCAACACTTGGGCTAAGAACCATTGGCATTTTTTCCCCAGACTCTTACAATGTACGGTGAGATGGCTAATGGCACAGAGTTGAGAGTGGAGGAAGGAATACACCTTACACAGGATGATTAAAGTTGTAAGAGAAGAATACCATTTGCATTAGTATTAGACAAGCTCAGGCATGTAAGAAACTAACCATGTCTGTACAGGAGCCAAATCAAACACCAGAAAAGCTGCATGAAATAAAAATTCACCGATTATATTAAATTGGCTTTATTGGTTCAGTTCAGTTGGAGACAAGCCTACACATTGGCTATAGCTGCCCTGATGTTGTTTAAACTTCTGTTATTCTTAGCTGTAGTGTAACGTATTAGATTGGAGGCATAGAAGCGAGAAAATCTTATCCATAGTGTTCAAATACCCAACCAATAAATGGCTTATGCAAGGTGTTCTGACAGAAAATTCAGGTTTCAGTGGAAAAAGGAAACAGAGTCAAACGAAATGCACCCCCACTCTCCTTTGGACTTCTGTCCTTTGGATTAAATGAGAGTTGGTGAGGGAGTGTGTGATCAGTTGAATATTTAGAGCCCAAGCCATTACAGCTTTTGGAATCAGCGTTTTGCTCAAAAACTCCTACCAGAATCCACTGACAGCCAGTTCAGATCCTGATGCTTTAGTATCTAATTGCTGTGAGAGTGAGTCTATGTAAAAAAAGGGAAGCTGTATTATACCAGTGATCTTGAAGAGCTTCATCTCATCTTTGTCCCTTTATTGGATTTCATATTTCTTCTCCAGATTGTTCTTACACTGTAGTCTGATTTCTCTTCCTTGACTCTTATTAAATCAGGAAACCAATTTAAAAAAGAAAAGGGGTGGGGAGAGAGGGGGGGCGGGTCATGATGAGATGGCGTGATGGCAGAAAACCTTTTCCAGAGGGAGGGGGGATTCAGATTGGGCAATTGAGCTGCAAGGTGTGTTGGGAGGAAGCATGTATCACTACAGCTTCAAAGGGGTAACAGATGAAATGTGCAGTCTTAAAGCCAAATGAAAACAAGCCTGAGACTTTGATTCCTTTGCAAAAACTTTCTCAAAATTACAATGTCAATAGCTCCAAAGACTTGGAACATACAGTTTTCTCCATCTGCAAAAATGTTTTATTCTTTCCCCTGATACTGCTTATTGTTCTCTTTTTGGCATTCACGTGACACTTTTCAATTTGAGAACTACACAAAGCACGAACCAACCCAAAACCTGTTTAAAAGTGTATCAGTACGACCAAATGCAACTGTTAGGCTATTCCAGATTTTTTGATTAATCGCCTTCTAATTCTGAAGTTGGCAGTACTCTAAGAGCTGATAATTATCCCTGTTTTTTTGGCAATTTGTGTGTTTATATCCTGCAACAATGACCAAAGGAGAAGTATGATGCATGAGATATTAAGAATTGGTCAGTACTGTACTTTTTAAGCAGTTTTTTTACAGGCTACAGTTTCACACTGCATTGGGGACTGTTTTAGAAGTTATCTTATGTATTTATAATCACGAAAGGAATAAAGAAATGAACTGAAAATGGATTTGTTGGACCATGTTATTCTTACTTGGAATTAAAGTGTTAATACTTTGTGTGTACAATTAGTTAAGATAAGCTGAAGTAAGGCTGCTTTAATTCTGAATTGAAGTAGTGCATTTGGATTTAATGCAGTTTATCTTACCCACTTTAAATTGTAGTTCAAGGGTTTTCTTTTCCCATGAGGATGTTAGGTGTTTCCATGTAGATTATGTACATAAGCTTGCTTGTATTACATGTCATGTTTTTGTTATTTTATTGACATATTTTATATTAAAAGGAATTTGGTCTTTGTAGCACTAATCGTATTGATTGATCCCTAAAAGAATGCCCATTAGTTTCAGATTGATTGATTTGCTTTTTGCTCTATAACTCTGATTTTTAAGACTGCTCCGTCTATTGCTTTTTTTTTCTGTGGCAAAACTAAAATAACATTAGCTTACAACTCCTTTGAGGAGACAGTTACATTTGAGCCTTCATATATGACTTCTAACAGCTAAATATTGCATATCATGATGTAATTGTTGATGGCAAGGGAAGTGCTTTTTGCTTGACCTTTTGGCAAAAAAAAAGGTTTAATCAAAATAGGTTTAATCAATTCACATGCTAGCAGCAGTCTCTTATTTAATAATATACTACATTTAGTTTCAGTAAGTATTTTAAATGATTGCAATTTTTATTATGTTGCTAATTCTGTTTGACCTAACTAATACAGTACAAATTCAGGAATGCTTTTGTCATTAACTGCTTTATCCTTTTTTTTTAGCATACCCATGTGCCACGACTCATACCTTTAATAACAAGCAACTGTACCTCAAAATCAGTTGCAGTTAGAAGGTGAGTACATTATAAATAGAAAATTATTACAGCTGTTGCTTTTTTAAATATACTGATCATATGTTGAAAATAAACAGATTTGAAGATTTATGGCCATTAACTCTGAATACACAAAACTGTGTTATCCAGTAAATTACAAAAATGAATTTCAGCAAAGCTACATTGAATGATGTTGAGGAATGGTACTTTCTGCCATACTGGGGGACATGCACTGTATCCTTCTGCAGAATTTATTCTAATTTAAAATGTTCCTAACACTTGTTGAAAAAATACCTTCTGATTTAAAACCGGAAGGAAAAAAAAAGCTGTAGTTGAATCTGTGTTGCTCAGTCTAATGAGAATAAACAACACGGGTATTGAGAGGCATTGGGAGAGCATGAAACAGATATACATGTCTTTGTGAAGAGCCAGCCTGAGCCTGTTAGTTACTGGTAGGGCCAGATCTGACAGGCCTAGTGAGGTTAGCTCTTGTTGAAGCACTACAGTGTACTGCATGCAGTGTGTGCCAGCCCCTTGCTCTCCTGATGCCAGGAGGACTTTGTAACTTTTCTGTAATGCAGTTTGAATGCGTGGAGCTACGCCGTCTGATACTGTGCCCAAAATAATAAACCTCCCATGCTGGGGACTGTGGGATTGAGGCAGTGGCTCCTACCTTAGATAGGACGTGGTGGATCACACTGATTTAACAACGGAGGTGCATCTTCAGCATGTTGCTTTTTCCAGGAACATTATACTTGAACTTGGATTGGCTCTTGACAAAATTAACTGGTTTCTGACAGGACGTCACTTTCTGCACAGAATCTCACGAAAGCAGTTAACGCTGTTTCTGGACCCATGCTACCCCTGAAAGCGATATAGCTATGTGTATGCAAGAAATAGCTTGAGCATCTAAACTATTTGCTCCGAACCTAAGCTGTCTTTGCATCCAAAGCAAGTATTATCTCAACCCAGATTATACTGACCTGTCATAATTTCTGGTTTCACTGGAAAACAATTCACAGGGTTTCAGTGCCTCCACTTACCACAGCTTTGCTGAGGAACATTAGACTGTAGGTGGCTTTGGTACTGCAGTTCACAATCCAATGAGCATCAATGAAGGTGGCCAAAATTGCATTGTTTTCATACTGACTTTGTTGCTTTGGAAAGACAAAGGAAAACTAGAACGGTTATAATAGTGAAAAGCCTTTCAGGATTTCTTGCCATGTCTTGTAGGTGTCCAAAGGATTTGGGCAGAATAAAAATGAAATCTGCCACTCCAGAACAGGCCAAAGATGCAGCATAACCAGAAAAAGTACTAGTTCCAGACAGTAGAGTCCACTACCTTTTTGAAGACTCGTTATCTACACCTTCCTCTAATCCGTGTTGCTTTGATTTGCTCACCAGGATCTAGCTTCAGATGTATTTTTAAGTATGCCTTTTGCTAATGGCTGTCTGCTAAATTGTCAAGAATTCTGAATTAATAATGAATAAGGTTACATAACTTAGTTTGTACAGTGCCAGCAAATCTCTAGGAGTGTGTAGTGGTTTAACCCCAGCTGGCAGCTAAGCACCACACAGCCGCTTGCTCACTCCCCCCCTGGTGGGATGGGGGAGAGAATCAGAAGAGTAAAAGTGAGAAAACTCATGGGTTGAGATAAAGACGGTTTAATAGGTAAAGCAAAAGCTGTGCATGCAAGCAAAGCAAAACAAGGAATTCACTCACTACTTCCCATCGACAGGCAGGTGTTCAGCCATCTCCAAGAAAGCAGGGCTTCATCACGTGTACTGATAACTTGGGAAGACAAAATGCCATCACTCTGAACATCCTTCCCCTTCCTCCTTCTTCCCCCAGCTTTTTATGCTGAGCATGATGTCAGGTGGTGTGGAATATCATAGAATCCTAGAGTCATTTAGATTGGAAAAGACCTCCAAGATCATCAA